CACTCTTGAAGTCATTCTGTTTCGCTCCATTCTCTCTACATGTCCGAACCACCTCAACAACCCTTCCTCAGCCCTCTGGACAACAGTTTTGGTAATCCCGCACCTCCTCCTAACTTCCAAACTACGAATTCTCTGCATTATATTCACACCACACATTGCCCTCAGACATGACATCTCCACTGCCTCCAGCCTTCTCCTCGCTGCAACATTCATCACCCATGCTTCACACCCATATAAGAGCGTTGGTAAAACTATACTCTCATACATTCCCCTCTTTGCCTCCAAGGACAAAGTTCTTTGTCTCCACAGACTCCTAAGTGCACCACTCACCCTTTTCCCCTCATCAATTCTATGATTCACTTCATCTTTCATAGACCCATCCGCTGACAACGTCCACTCCCAAATATCTGAATACATTCACCTCCTCCATACTCTCTCCCTCCAATCTGATATCCAATCTTTCATCACCTAATCTTTTTGTTATCCTCATAACCTTACTCTTTCCTGTATTCACCTTTAATTTTCTTCTTTTGCATACCCTACCAAATTCATCCACCAATCTCTGCAACTTCTCTTCAGAATCTCCCCAAGAGCACAGTGTCATCAGCAAAGAGCAACTGTGACAACTCCCACTTTGTGTGTGATTCTTTATCTTTTAACTCCACGCCTCTTGCCAAGTCCCTCGCATTCACTTCTCTTACAACCCCATCTATAAATATATTAAACAACCACGGTGACATCACACATCCTTGTCTAAGGCCTACTTTTACTGGGAAATAATTTCCCTCTTTCCTACATACTCTAACTTGAGCCTCACTATCCTCGTAAAAACTCTTCACTGCTTTCAGTAACCTACCTCCTACACCATACACCTGCAACATCTGCCACATTGCCCCCCTATCCACCCTGTCATATGCCTTTTCCAAATCCATAAATGCCACAAAGACCTCTTTAGCCTTACCTAAATACTGTTCACTTAAGTCATACGTGATGTAAGTCATACGTGATGTAAAAGTCAACTAAAATGCTGGGAGCAATGGGCTAGTAACACCTTTTCCTGTAATAATTACTAAAACGAATAAGAAGATATCCTGAGTAGTAGGGATCTACCTTTAACAAGATGTCCTGTCTAAGGGCAATGTGTGGTGTAAATATTATGCAGAAAATTTGGAGTGTGGAAATTAGGAGGTGTGGAGTTAATAAAAGTATTAGTCAGAGGGTTTGTTGAGGTGGTTTGGTCATCTAGAGAGAATGGATCAAAGTAGAATGACATGGAGAGCGTATAAATCTGTAGGGGAAGGAAGGCGGGGTAGGGGTCATCCTCGAAAAGGTTGGAGGGAGGGGGTAAAGGAGGTGTTGTGGGCGAGGGGTTTGGACTTCCAGCAAGCGTGTTAGATAGGAGTGAATGGAGACAAATGGTATTTGGCACCTGACGAGCTGTTATATTTAGTGAAGGGATTCAGGGAAACTGGTTATTTTATATAACTGGACTTGAGTCTTGGAAATGGGAAGTACAATGCCTGCACTCTGAAGGAGGGGTTTGAGATATTGGCAGTTTGGAGCCATATATTGTGTATTTTATACGTATATACTTCTAAACTGTTGTATTCTGGGCACCTCTGCAAAAACAGTGATTATGTGTGAATGAGGTGAATGTGTTGAATGATGATGAAAGTATTTTCTTTTTGGGGATTTTCTTCTTTTTGGGTCACCCTGCCTCGGTGGGAGATGGCCGACTTGTTGAAAAAAAAAAAAAAAAAAAAGTTCTTTGGCAGGTTTTCACCTCTCGCATCATAGAAATGTTTGAAATCTCAATTTTTTTTTTTACATATTTTCTAAATTTTATTATATATACTTAACCCTTTCAGGGTCCACAGACCCTCTCAGAGACTTGTTCTCAGGGTCCCCCAAATTTCAAAAAAAAAAAAAAAAAAAAAATTTTTCCTTTGAGAAGATAGAGTTTTTTCCCCGATGATAATGACACCAAAAGTATGAAATTTGATAGAAAACTCATGGAATTATGCTCTTGCGAAGTTAGCGGTCTCAACGATGTTTACGCATCGGCGATTTTGCCCACTTTGGCCCTATTTTCGGCCAATTCCAATGTACTAGTTGACAAAAATCATAACTATTTGCTAGAACTTCATTTTTACTATGGAATGAGTACAAGAAACCACCAATTTACCGATTTTAACTATCCAATACAGTGGTCAGAATTTAGCAATTTTGCCAATTTCACACAAATTTCAGAAGATGCCAATTTCCAAATAGGGTCCAGAATAAACAAGAAAGACATTCCTGGCACTAAAGTAACATTTCCTCTGTTCATTAGTCACGTCCCAATGCCCCTCTTACATTTCTTTTGCTTTCCACTTTGAATTTTTATTCTCAAAAAAAATAAGATTTACTGTTGTGTAGACTACAGCATTAGTGTAGAAATGGTATAAATAATATCGGCGCACTTGTGAAAGAATATTAGACTCACCAGTTGACGTGTATTGGACGCTTAGCATGATTTGTTTACTTTTGAACTTTGGTAAAAATCGAACATTTCTGCTACTTTGAGCTCAATTTCAAGGTACTTTTCATTGTAAAACAATCAAAATCATCTCAATTTCTATAATATGTCTTCCATTCTATACAATGAGACCAGGAAAACTAGAATACAACAATAAATACCATAAGAAAATATAGTGCAAAGTCGCTGTTTTAATCCAAAAACACTGTCAAAGTTTTTTTTTTCTCATTATGCAGTGTGTGCTGCAGGATGTTTTTTTATACTGCGCACACTGACCACATAGACCCATTCTTTCATATGTAGGCCTACCAGCTTTCTCTCACTAGATTTGAAGGCGCTAGAATTTATGCTTACTAGTACGTCATGGACACTGGTGCGTAAGCCGTACTAGTACGGCCGAAACCCTGAAAGGGTTAAGAGATACAACATTGTATGCCTTATTGTCGGCCAACATTTGGTCATTTCAACGTCGTAGTGGTCAGGCCTCTGAAGGTATACATTATTCTTTTTGCTCTATTCTCAGAATAAGATGAACCACATTGTGTAGCTACTCAGATCTCTGAGGTTTTACTAATAAGTTTCACTCATTGGCACTTTTTTCTCCCCTTCCAGAGAGCCATTTATGCTGACCTAGATAAGTACTATTGGTACCTCACTCTTGAAGGAGGGTGCTTTAATTCAGTGAAATGCTCTTATTCTGGTGAATTGGAGCTACTCTCCATTTCCTTGTATTAAACATGATTACTTCTTATGGGTTTAGTGCTTCCCTGTGACTAATAATAATACAGTGAACCCCCGCATACCGATGCCATCACATAACGATTAATCCGCATACCGCTTGCTTTTATCGCAAAAATTTTGCCTCGCATACCGCTTAAAAACCCGCTCACCGCTGTTCGTCCGAGACGCGTCCAATGTGCACCCTCAGCCAGCCTCACATGTGCCGCCCGTGCCATTGTTTACCAGCCAGCCTCCGCGGTAACATCCAAGCATACATTGTTTTTGGTGATTTTCTCTGGAAAATAAGTGACCATGGACCCCAAGAAAGCTTCTAGTGCCAACCCTACAGCAATAAAGGTGAGAATTCCAATAGAGATGAAGAAAGAGATCATTGATAAGTATGAAAGTGGAGTGCGTATCGCCGACCTGGCCAGGTTGTACAAGAAACCCCAATCAACCATCGCTACTATTGGTGGTACAGCTGCTGCTGCTGCTGTAGTACTATCTGCTGCTGCTGTAGCATCGTCTGCTGCTGCTGTAGCATCGTCTGCTGCTGCTGTAGCACTGTCAGCTGCTGCTGCTGTTGTACCACCGTCAGCTGCTGCTGCTGCTGCTGTAGTACCGTCTGCTGCTGCTGTAGCATCATCTGCTGCTGCTGTAGCATCGTCTGCTGCTGCTGTAGCACTGTCAGCTGCTGCTGCTGTTGTACTGCCGTCAGCTGCTGCTGCTGCTGTAGTACCATCTGCTGCTGCTGTAGTACCGTCTGCTGCTGGTGTAGCATCGTCTGCTGCTGCTGTATCACTGTCAGCTGCTGCTGCTGCTGCTGCTGTAGCACCGTTGTTGGTGTGGCTTATTGAGAATACCAAGAAACAATTAACCCCAGAGGATTTGCCACCCAGGATAACCCAAAAAAGTCAGTGTCATCGAAGACTGTCTAACTTATTTCCATTGGGGTCCTTAATCTTGTCTCCCAGGATGCAACCCACACCAGTCGACTAACACCCAGGTGAACAGGGAAAAATGCCTGGAACTAGTGCTCATATTGGTGAATTTAAAGCCAGCAAAGGTTGGTTTGAGAGATTTAAGAATCGTAGTGACATACACAGTGTGATAAGGCCTGTTCTGGAAGAAAATGCCAAACAGGACCTTCAGTACTCAGGAGGAAAAGGCACTCCCAGGACAGTGTCTCATCAGTCATTGCTGCATCTTCAATAAAGGTTAGTGTCATTTATTCTTCATTTAGTAGAGTAGTACATGCACAATATATACTGTGCATGTACTACTCTACTATTGTGCATGTATCCTTCTCTTTGTGTGTAGAAAAATGTATATTTCATGTGGGAAAATTTTTTTTTCATAATTTTGGGTGTCTTGCACGGATTAATTTGATTTCCATTATTTCTTATGGGGAAAATTCATTCGCATACCGATCATTTCGCATAACAATGAGCCCTCTTGCACGGATTAAAATCGCTATGCGGGGGTCCACTGTAGTAATAATTACTGTTGGACCCTCATTTCTCCTAGAAGGAAACTTTATTACATAAGTATTATTTCATATCAGTTTCTCTGTAGATATAATAATTGTTTATTTTTTATTAACACATTGGCCGTTTCCCACCAAGGTAGGGTGGCCCAAAAAAAAAAAACTTTCATCATTCACTCCATCACTGTCTTGCCAAAGGCATGCTTACACTACAGTTATAAAACTGCAACATTAACAATAATAATAGGATGTAATGTAGAGCATTTTTCTTTTCAGTGTAAATCCAATAGCTTTAGGTGATCGTTGGTTGGCATATGCAGACCGGCGCCTGATTCCCCTTCACCAGTCATGTGGTGGGATGGTTCCCGAGGGATCAACATCATACAAAGCCACTGTCTTTCATGCAGCCAAATCCCTCACTAAGGTGTGTTAAGTTAATTTTTGTATATGATTATTTACCTTTTATTACCTTAAGCATTCTTTTTCTGTGTAGCAAATTCCTAAACAAAATGTAGATGACATACATATACAAAAAAACTACTAAAAGCACATAATACCATAATATGCAACATGATCACTGTTAGGAGAAAATAAATTCAGAAGCATTTGTGCTTGGAATTTATTTCCATTGCACTTAACTGATGAGTCTATCACCAGTAATCCAGCAGTTGCTGCTGCTGCTGTGGCCTGATACAGGGTCACTAGCTCCTCCATCTTCATTTGCCACCATTCTTGGTTGTGCTTCCACCACTTAACGGATCATCTTATTATGATCCATTAGATGACTTTTCTCTGACAAATGCAGACATGGCATTTCAGTTATCCTTGGAGAATGGACTTCAAGGCTAAATGTTGAGTTTTCTCCTAGAGACTATTTTAAGCATTTCCTTTAACATCACTTCAATTTTTAGTAATGTTTTTTCATTTGATAAATGCTGTTGGATTGCAACATGTAGATGTGTATATATGTGCCACATATACAGTTGTGCATACTTGATATTTTTTCTTATTTTTGCATTTCATAATATTGGCCTGTGATTGTTTCCTATATAGTGTTCCATATTGTGCCATGTTTTATAATGTTGCTGTATGTTGTATTTTTGTGGCACACCCATTGTTTATATGAACTCAAAACAAAGTGACTTCCCATTTATTTTAAAAAAGTATAAAGCTTTTTCCCCACCTCATGTTAAATGTTGTGTTTGCCTCAAAAATCTTCTTTATCTTGATTCTCATGTGAAGAGTTTCAATTTGTAACTCAATAAGCTTTTGGCCTGTTTGTTTGATACAGATTGACTGAAGGAGTGGGACTAAGGTAGACAGGCAGATGGGGCTTTATTAGTTTTAACTTGTTTGGATCAGATACTGTGCATGATGAACGATCAAATTCTCATGGTCCAGTCAGAGTGAGTGCATCTGGCATACTGGCTAGAATCTTATAAAGTAAATGAACGTAATTTTGAAAATTATCCTGAGAAAAATTGCCACCATGTAATTTATTGAACCACTAAATTCGTAAATTTAGACTAGTAGATGAAGAATAAAAAGGCACAATACCATGACTGGAACAGTACACAGATAACTCGCACATAGGAGAATGAAACTCATGACAGTGTTTCAGTCCAGCTTGGGCCATTAACTAGTGTGACTAGTTAACCCTTTCGCTGGCTGTCACATAGAACTATGATATTAAGATAAAATAAGATTTTCTTTGGATTTTTAACCCCGGAGGGTTAGCCACCCAGGATAACCCAAGAAAGTCAGTGCATCATCAAGGACTGTCTAACTTATTTTCATTGGGTCCTCAATCTTGTCCCCCAGGATGCGACCCACACCAGTCGACTAACACCAGGTACCTATTTGCTGCTAGGTGAACAGGTCAACAGGTGTAAGGAAACGCATAGGTCTATGTCATTCATAAGCTGTGAGTGGTAAATTTTGGGCTAGATATCATTGGTGGAATGATGATGTAAAGAGAGTAGTAAGGGAGAAAAAGTTAGCATATGAGAAGTTTTTACAAAGTAGAAGTGATGCAAGGAGGGAAGAGTATATGGAGAAAAAGAGAGAGGTTAAGAGAGTGGTGAAGCAATGTAAAAAGAGAGCAAATGAGAGAGTGGGTGAGATGTTATCAACAAATTTTGTTGAAAATAAAGAAAAAGTTTTGGAGTGAGATTAACAAGTTAAGAAAGCCTAGAGAACAAATTGATTTGTCAGTTAAAAATAGGAGAGGAGAGTTATTAAATGGAAAAGTTAGAGGTATTGGGAAGATGGAAGGAATATTTTGAGGAATTGTTAAATGTTGATGAAGATAGGGGAAGCTGTGATTTCGTGTATAGGGCAAGGAGGAATAACATCTTGTAGGAGTGAGGAAGAGCCAGTTGTGAGTGTGGGGGAAGTTCGTGAGGCAGTAGGTAAAATGAAAGGGGGTAAGGCAGCCGGGATTGATGGGATAAAGATAGAAATGTTAAAAGCAGGTGGGGATATAGTTTTGGAGTGGTTGGTGCAATTATTTAATAAATGTATGGAAAGAGGGTAAGGTACCTAGGGATTGGCAGAGAGCATGCATAGTTCCTTTGTATAAAGGCAAAGGGGATAAGGGGGAGTGCAAAAATTATAGGGGGATAAGTCTGTTGAGTGTACCTGGTAAAAATGTATGGTAGAGTTATAATTGAAAGAATTAAGAGTAAGACGGAGAATAGGAATAGCAGATGAACAAGGAGGCTTTGGAAAGGTAGGGGGTGTGTGGACCAGGTGTTTACAGTGAAACATATAAGTGAACAGTATTTAGATAAGGCTAAAGAGGTCTTTGTGGCTTTTTATGGTTTTGGGGAAAAGGCGTTGACAGGTGGATGGGGGGGAAAGTGGCAATGTTGAAAGTGAGTGTAGGAGGAGGTTACTAAAACAGTAAAGAGTTTTTACAGGATAGTGGGCTCAAGTTAGAGTATGTAGGAAAGGGAAATTTTTTCCCAAAAAGTAGGTTTAAAAAAGGGTGGGTGATGTCACCGGGTTTTTTTTAATTATTTTTAGGGGGGGTTGTAAGGAAGTAAATGCGGGGTTTTGGGCAAGAGGCGGGAGTTAAAAATAAAGAATCACACACAAAGGGGGAGTTGTCCAGCTGCTCTTTGCTGATGACCTGTCTCTTGGGGGATTCTGAAAAGAATTTTCAGAGATTTGGGGGATGAAATTGGGGAGGGGGTGCAAAAAAAAGAAAATTAAAGTGAATACAGGAAGAGTAAGGGTTTTGGGAAACAAAAAAAATTTGTGATAAAGATTGAATATCAAATTGGGGGGAGAGAGTATGGGGGAGGTGAAAGTATTCAATATTTTTAGTGGACTGTCAGCGGATGGGTCTATGAAAGTGAGGGTAACATAGAATTGAGGGGAAAAAGAGTGAGGTGCACTTTGGGGTCTGTGAACAAAGAACTTTGTCCTTGGGGGAAAGGGGGAATGTATGAGAGTAAGTTTTCCAACGCTCTTTAAGGGGTGAACGGGGGTGATGAATGTTGCAGCGAGGAGAAGGCTGGAGCAGGGGATGTCATGTTGGGGGCAAAATGTGGTGTGAAATAATGCAAAAATCGTATTTGGAATTAGGGGGAGGGCGGGGGGTACCAAAACTGTTGTCCAGAGGGCTGAGGAAGGTTTTGAGGGGGTTTCGGGCATGTAAGGAATGGAGCGAAAAAAATGATTTAAAAGTGTATCAGTCTGTATGGGAAGGGAAGGGGGGGGAGGGGGCGGCCCAGGGAAAGGGTTGGAGGGGGGGGGTAAAGGGGGTTTTGTGTTCGAGGGGCTTGGACTTCCAAGGATGCGTGAGCGTGTTTGATAGGAGGAATGGAGACAAATGGTTTTTAATACTACGTGCGTGGGTGTGACAAAAAACATTTTTGAAGGGGTTCAGGGAAACCCCGGGGGCCGGACTTGATCCTGGAGGGGAATACATGCCTGCACTCTGAAGGAGGGGTGTTAATGTTGCAGTTTTTAAAAAATGATTAAAGCCCCTTTGGAAACAGGATGGAGTGAATGATGTAAAGTTTTCTTTTGGGGCCCCCTGCCTTGGGGAAACGGCCGGTGTAAATAAAAAAATCAGAGAATGGTTTGTACAGTGAATCGCACCTTTTTAAAAAAAAAAAAAGCCCCACAGGTGCATGGGGAAAACAAAACTGTGACTTTTTATGTTTTAAAATCCCGTGCAGTTTTCTCTTGGATGGTTCTTATGATTTTTTTGGTGCTGTTTGGGTATTATTTGATAGAAGGAAAATATTTTAGTGAAATAGAGATGTTTTTGTTTTCAGGATTTTGATTTGATTTCGGGATGGAAGTAGCTTGAAATTGAGCCAAAGTAGCAGAATATTTGATTGTCGATATTTCAAGGAGGGAAAAAGGCCCCCCCCCAGTCTGTTTTATGGATTTTTAATGGGGTCTGTTCAATTTTTGGGATGAAAATCTTTCCGGGTTATATATGTACCCAAAGGGAAAAGAGTAAATCTTCTGTTTTTGATGAATAATAGTTAAAAAGGAAGAAGTGTAATATGGAAGGCCGGGGATATAAGATTAACCGGAAATTTTTTTTTTAGTGCCGGGAATTCACATTGTTTATTTTTGAACCTTTTTTTAAATTGGCATTTTTTTTAAAAAAAAAAAACCATACCACGGCAGGTTTTAACCCGCGTCAAGAGACTCCTGACCGGGGTTCTTTTCCCGCCCGTGGTTGGTTTGTTTGAAATGGTCTTTTACAATTTCGGATCATTTTTTTTTAATTTTGTAAAATTTGCCAAATTATAAATTCTGATCATTTATAGGGTATTTGAAATATTGAAGGGGGCTTTTCCCTGGCTCAATCCATAGAATGGAAACATATAGTGAATATTAAAAATTTGGTTGACGGAAAAAAGGGAATTTGGGCCAAAATAGACTCGGGGTGAAAGCCCTGTGCAAAAATTGTGCTGGACTGCTAACTTTGTGCCGCAAAATTCTTATTTTCCATCATATTTTGAAAATTTTTGGTGTCATTCCCTTTTGGGGAAAGATTATTTATCATTTCAAATTTTTTTTTGGGGGGGGGGGGAGGGGGGATTTTTGGGGACAATGAACAAATTTCTTTTCGGGGTTTTTCCTGGACAGTGAAATTTTAATGGCCAAGTCGGCCAAAAACATTGGCATGAGTTTTGTTTTTTGTGTGCTGGTTTTTTGTGTTATATTTTAGTAGATATATACACAACCCCCAACCCTTAAGAATCCGTTATCCCCCGAGTAGTAACTTGAAAAACATTCATAAGCTTGCATAATTTGCATTTATTATGTTCCTAAAGAAAGCTTCTGGAGTGTAAATTAACAAAGGGAAAGAAGCTTCAGTTTTTCCAACAAGGAGGACAGTCCCAAAAAAAATCTGGTTCAAAACACTGAAAAATAAAAATTTTCATACCATAT